GTAAATGCAGAAAAGAAACTTCAATGTCCTGTGGAGAAATTTAGGGAATCTATTGCATCCTAAAATGCCTATGAATGACTCAGTTACCACGACTTTAAGTGGGAAGTGTATGCTATTTAATGTAGCACATATAAAATTGTGTAGTAAGAATCCACGTTTTGACATTGGGTCAATGAAAAATTGGTTGACGGAAAAACGTTTCTACCCGTCTGTGGTCAAATCTAACATCAAAATCGTTATTCGATATTCTCTCAAATTTATATTACCCGAACGATCTGACCGATCTCGTGGTCTTGCTTGTTTGAAACGATATTTTGATTTTTTGAAATACATTTCTTAGTCTCAACATTTTCAAAACTTACTCAGAAATTGCCTTTCTCATTAATCTTCTTCCTGGGATAGCGCAAATAACTCTTAAAAATGGAGCATGTCGAATTTATTTAAGCAATTCTCTGAATTTTCAAAAATTGCAAACGTTACAAATAATGCGAGAAAGAATGTGCTGTTGAAGTGCACTAGATTATAAGAGACAGACGAAGAAGAAGATTAAAGAGATCCCACTTCGCTAAATAATGTTATGTTAAATCTCTCAGATTAAAAAAAAAGACCAATTCAGACCAGACAGTCGATAATTCTGTGAATTTGTGGATATGTGATTCATACAAAATTTTTTTTAAAAAAATTCTTTAATATACTTGATAATTTAAAATGGAAATTTTGTGTTGTTGAAAATAATAGATTATTTCATTTTATTACAGTTTCATTTCCAAATGAACTGTATGAACTAAATGAATTTCTTTTTCAGTTGATTAGTTGTTAAGGAAGACCAGACATTTGATTATTATTAGCTTAACTGTCAGCTAATTCAATGAATATTAAATACTTCAAAAACCAATTCTCATTTCCGTTTCAACATTTTTCAACTTTAAAGACGTTAGAATTAAATCGTAATAGACATAATTATATTCAGAAACGATCTTCGGAAATTTCCAAAAAATTGGAGCTGAAGGGTTTTGTAAGGCTGAAAACATTCTGTAGACAGATTTATGAGTTGGGTTTCAGACTGCACGGTAGGTAGTTTTGATCTCGTGATTCACATTTCCACTGTGTGCTATCGTCGTGACGAGCGAATCTCGGCAAGGTTACGCAGATTTTGAGGAAGGCTGACGGCGCCGAGGTCATGGGCGGGTGCACGCTGGTAGTCGCCGCCAGCGGTTCAGGTTGGCCAGATATGTGTTAAAGTAACTGAAAAATGTTACAAGTTGATATCAATATCACATACTCAATCAATAATTTTTCGCTACAGGCCAATTCAAGCTTTGTTTCTGACATCCGCGTAATCGTTGCCCAGTACTTCTGGAATTATTTTGTTGATCATGAGGAATGCATCATTGCCGTACGCTCATTGTTGATCCCAAAGATGAGAGTGGGGAAGAATTAATGACGGACCCCGCGTAATTTGTGGCTAGGTGATTTAGATATTGTTTCAGCATCCATCTGGAATTTATTGGCCAAAACAACAGAAACGACCAATACGACGAGCCGATTTCGTCTTCTAGATTTTTCAATCCCTTTTTATTTTGTGGTTCCGACAAAAAATCTCATATTGTGTCATGGTATCGAAAAAAGTAGAAATTTTTTTGATTCTTTATGTAATAAATGACTTCCTCTAACACGGTGTGTTGTCAATATACATGTTCGGTGGATCCTTGATTACGAAAAATCGATTGACAACAAAACGTTTCGTTTGTCTGTCCATCCGTCTGTTTGTCTGCCAGCTTGCGTGTCTGTCAGTCTGCCTGCTTGTCTACTTGCCTTTCTTGATTGACTGACCGTGTATCTGATCAAAGCTAGCGCCTAAACCATTGAGACAATTTCCTTCAAAAATGATATTCCTCGATCGATCTGAACGAACTCGAGGCCCTGCAAGTTTAAAACGTACATTTTGATTTTTGGGGGTAATTTATGTAAAAGCTTAGCATTTTACAACTTTAAAAAAAAATATATCCAAAGTTTTTTATTACACAATGTACTGGAATAGCGTATAGATCGCTTAAAAGAATGGCGTAGATTTAATTGCAAAAGTTTAGAATTTTTCCGGCGACTGTTCGAAACTGCAATATTGAAGAAATGTATTTTTTTACCCCAACAAAATGTGTTGTTCAGAGACCTCTTGGAATAGGGTTACGAGCAATTTTTCGAAAATATGTGTAGTGTCATATAGGTAATTTAAAAAAAATTATTTTCGCAAAAAGCGCTCTAACTTTTTCTCTAAATTTTTCCGTCGTATGTATTGAATGAAGATAAAATTAGTGCTGGTTCCATATTCGGAGAACTCTGTATTTTTGAGACTTGCAAAAAATTAACTTCGAAAAAAAACGTATTGATAATAGGTTGTTTTTTTTTTCACGAAAATCAGTTCTAAAATATAAATTTCTTAAAAAGTAGTAATTTTCACGTAATTTCTGCGTGAATTTAATATAATTTATTTAAAAGATCGTAAAAAAAGGCTCCGGATTTTGTAAATATATAATATATTTCACATATACAGAGTTAAGCACGCTGTAAAATGGCACAGGTATCATTTTCGTTCAACAATCGGAATTTTCGAAATTTGTCAAAGTTAGAGATAATGCAGAACGTCTGTGCTGTTGCAGCACCAATAGTTTCAAATTTCTTTAAAGATGAACAGAATGTTGTTGACTTTATCCAAATGCCGCTCACAGATATCCGTCACAATACACACATTTAAAGGGATCAAATCGAGGGATGAGAACCAGAGGGTTCTATCTGACAAAATACTCGCTATTTTGCAGGAAAACGCTTCAAATTTGGTGTTCTTTACAGCAAGAAGTACTAATATTACGTAATCGCTTGTAATTTTTAAATAATGAACACTTAACGTAGTATGAAATGTTACATGATGTTATTAATGGAAAACAATTGAAAGATACATTCATCAAAAGTTTGTTAAAATGCTGCAAGAACGTAGAACCTTCTAACACCAAAGGTTTTTCAAAATTGAAGATCCAGATGATTCTTTACTTCGGAATTGATTAATCATATGCTACATTAACTCAGGGCAACCACTTCTCATAGATTTTATCTCTTTTACCTTTTCTCTGGATAATGGCTTTCATAATCTCGATATCTCGATTCAGCCTGGAGTGATTGACTTCTTATACTCAGTACACAAGTGCCTTTGTAGCCAGACCTCTTTTCTAACAGAATAACTTCCTACCACGTATCCGCATTACTGATTTTATAAAAGGTTATGAAGAGGTTAATTTGTTCAAATCTTAATTGTGCAATCTGAGTGTAGAGAATTCTAAAATATGCATAGTTGTTTGATTTATGAACAGATTATAACCAGAGGAGTCCAATGTACACACATGAATTACATTGTACGGTGATCTTAAATTACATGTAAATATAATTCACAACAGCAATAACGGTGACTATAGCTCAGGTAGTTTTAAAGTTTTTTCTACTGTAGTGTGTATAGTGCTCTCTTCCTGAATACAGAAATGGCCAGGAGCACTTGGTTCTCTGCTCTCCGTTGCGGTCATCCATTTTCGCTTTTATCGGTGGAATGTATTCTGAATCAGTGCTATCGTAATCAGAAACACTTCACACGCCACTTTCAACTTTCCTCGTCGTTACACCACGACCACCTCCCACGTAAAACAGCTAGACAACACCTTTGTCAACACACAGACGCAAATAACCATGAATAGAACCTTACGGTTTTCATGTTTGCCAAATTCTGCAGAGAACTTAAATTTCTCCACCCCTTACTCGGTTATCAAATGTTTCACAGTGCACCACATTCTTGGTTTACGTAAAGGATGTTCTATACTATCGTTTTTATGAAAAACTCCAAAAAGGCAATTTTGATTGATAGAAACCTCTTCACCCCATGACATGTAAATAATGTCACAAAATATCTGAAGCTTAAAAAAAGTTTTGAAAGGTAAGAAAGTAAAAAGGTTAAAAAAGAAAGTTTTGAAAGGCTGTGATCTAATAACTGAAAACATATTTCTAAATTTTCCAAGAATAGCAGTAGTATTTCTTACATCCTTATTCAATGCTCTCTGGATAATCTCTTAGAAAATAGTCCAAGTCATAGATATGTTGTGAAGTCACAGACATCAGAGATCAACATGTCTTCTTCCAGTGCTACTGAAAGTCTTAAATAGTATATTTTAAGGGTCTCTACAGCTAAAGGAGAAAACCAGCAAAAATATTTAGCTTACAGAAATATTCCACAAAAAGGTTGCAAGGTGTTTCCGCCCCCTTTTAAACATGGTGTCCAGACTTACTCACACAAAACGATAGCATTAGATGCACTTCGTATCTAATGACGAACAATAACATAAAATGTTTGTGGATAGGCTGGTCAAAACGCAAAAAATCACTATTTTCTTCCAAGAAATTGTGTACACATTCTTTTCTCAGTACAAAACAATGTTCGGGCGCAAATAAGAATCATTGTATTCGACGGTGAAACTTACCCTAATTGCTACTATGCTGCTCGGGCGCGGAGATCTCATATCGCTAGCACTTATGGATGCGCTCTTATTTTTTATGCGACCCATCTTTCCTTCCTCTTCCTTCTCCTATCCTCAACCCTTGCACACACCAGACTTGTCGGGAAGTTACAACTCATTCCGGCCGTGGCGGTACCCCACTGGTAGAGATATCTGGTTAGGGAAAACCCCTGTATGTAGGTGGGCGCTGGACCTTGCCATCCCTTAGGGGAAGATCACCGTTACCTCCCTCTATAAAGACATGCACCACACTTCGAGACTTATGTCCTTAGCGGTTGACACGCCCGGATACAAGCCAATCAATCAATCAAGTCCCTGCACTAAGAGTGTGTCCGTTGGCGCAGATGTGCCCGTGGGGCTGGACCGGCCCAACAACGGAGTGCTGCGGCCGCCGCCTCCGCCGGCTGTGGAGGTGCCGCCGCTGACGCCGCAGCAGCTGAACCAGGCGGCCGCCGTGGCGCTGGAGCGCATCCAGAAGCGCCTGGAGCTGGTGACGCGCCTCTTCCAGAACGGTTTCGTCATCCAGCTGGGCACGCCCGCCGCCTGGCACCTGGAGTTCTTCCAGACCAGCAACGCCACCCTGGAGCAGGGCGAGGAGGCGCAGAAGAACGTGGAAGCCAGCGTCAGCCTCGTCAACGAGTGAGTTCGATTGTTCGGGGCTTTGCGTGGAAGTTCGCATGGGGAAAAAAGTATGTGTGTTAATTTTCTGGCGGGTAAAATTGTAATAATGCATGTCAAGACAATGTTAAAATTAGGTTACCACAAGAAGGAACGGTTTGGTTTCAGAAGCTCTCAAAAAAAGGCATTCAGCCATAGACGGTAGCGCAACCAGCTTCCGGTAGAGTAACTGTAGCTAAATAGATCGATCGTAGGCATCCTTAACGGATTTGATTTACTCATCTGTAGGAGGATCAACATTAAACACATATCATTTGCGAAAGTTATTTTCTGTTTAATTTTAACTAGCGGAAGTGCTCCACGTCGCCCAGATCAGAAACATCTACTGAAAAGTAAAAAGGAATTAATCCTAACAAAACCCAACCCCCAACCCCCAACCCCCAACCTTGCTTTATTTCATCCTGTTTCGTTCTCCCTGATACCATGCTCCATCCCATCCACCTAGATCCACTCTGAATTCGTCTCACCTCACTTCAACTCTACTCCTCACCTCGCCACATCTTGCCTTACCCTGTTCTGCTCTGTTCTACCCTGCTATACCTTCCTTACCTACCCTGGCATCCTATCGCCCAACTGACGTAGTACACTGATGTAGTTTAGACTGGCCAAGCTTAGCCTAGCCTTTACTTGTCTTTGTTTGCTGGTTGAACTGTGGTGACCCAGTGTCTAGCCTAGCGTAGTTTACCCTAGCCGTGCCTGAAACATTTAAGAATCGTGGTTTCGAGCACACTACTATATTTCATTGGTTTTGAGGATGTACCCAGGCACCAGGTAAAACAGAATTAACTCTTTAGGTCATTTCGCAAGCAACGAAGAGTGATGTAGGCCAGAGTCGAACCTTGGTTGAAGAGTCATTGAACGGTGCTAAGTTTCGAAGAGTTCCACTAAGTTGCTGACGACTGACCAGTTTCAATAAGACTTGCCTCTGAACTCAAAGACAGCATCGGGAGGAGTATTTGTAGTGCATTCGTTCACATTTCTTAATTAGGGCGTAAAACCATAAAGCTGGAGCTCAGGGATTTAATCCGCAAAATGTGTGTCATAACTTTGCTAAACTTCCAGTTCATTCAAAAGACTGGGAGGTGAAAAAATTACTTCATTTGGAAAAGCCCTTATTTTGCGCTAAGTACTGTAGAGGCACCCACAGTCCTTAGATCTCCTCAGGAAGCCGGTTGCAACTTGCAGTAGATTTTGTATTCAACCGACTCATAACATCTTTCGTTGTGCGTTAGAGGCATAATAATAACAATAATAGCAATAATAACAATAATAATAGCAATAACAATAACATAAATAACAAAAATAACACAAATAACAACAATAACAATAATAACGACAGTAACTACAAGAACAACAGTAACTACAGCAGTAACTACAATAATAACAACAGTAACTACGACAATGACAACAGTAATTACAACAATAATTTGAATTCCGGAGATTAAGAATATGTCCGGGCCAATGAACGGGATATCTGTGATGCAGGTTCCAACTGACGCCGGACCAGGGCGCGTTCGCGCTGCCCACCTTCAGCATACTGAACACGGTGATCGCCGACTCGTGCCCGCGCACGGCCTCCTGCCAGGCCACCAAGTACCGCTCCGCCGACGGCAGTTGCAACAACCTGCAGCACGATCGCTGGGGGCGCGCGGGCACCGCCCTGCAGCGAGTCCTGCCGCCCAAGTACGGCGACGGTGAGTGCCCTCAGACCCTCAGACCAGACGACCTTCGGAGCTTCTCCTCTTTCACTCCTGTGAGCCTCTGGCTGCTCTTGAATCTCTCTATGTCTCCGCCCCCCCCCCTTTTATTCATTTATGTTTCTCTCCCACTCAGTTCTTCTCTTCCTGTGTTTCTCTACATCACAAATTTGATCGTGAAGATGTTAATAGAATTGATCATATCTGTCCAATACCTTCAGAATGAGAATAATACATTATAAAATTACAATTGTCATGAGAAATCGTATAGGTAAATTTCGGGCACAAATCTGAAGGTTTGTAGGGATTTCAGGTAATAGCCAGTTACACACCAGTTACACAATTAATCTGCTAAGCAAATAGATATCATTTTAATATTGGAAGCTCGTAAATATGTTTCTACAAAAGAAAAATTTCAAATTAAAAATACCAGTGTTGATTCATCGCATTTAAATCTAACTAATGATAGTTGTTCCGCCTTGGCGTGGTTTCATTCTTTCTTGTTTAGATTAATCTTTAGCTCTGGATTCAACGATGGAAAATGTGAAAATTTAACTGAACTTTTTTTAATAACTACGCTGGTTGCTTAACTGGGTATAAAGGGAAATGTGGAAAAATTATGCTCCCACATTCTTTCAAGAACATTATTTTGTTAATTTTCTTTCTACACATGTTTGAACAGGGCTTTGACAAACCAGTATTGTTCATCGATTTTGCAGGAGTCAATTCACCACGATCTGAAGGGTTACCAAGTGCTCGAGTTGTCAGTATCTCATTTGCTACTGATGTTGACCAGCCCTATGACAATTACACTCTCTTAATCATGCAATGGGGACAGTTTTTGGATCATGACCTTACACATACACCTGTAACAAGAGGTAAGTCTGTCTATTAATTACAATATTTTCATTCATTCAATTTATTTGCAAAAACGTAAATGCAATTCATTGTATTTTCAGGGAAGGATGGTTTTGGTCTTACTTGTTGTGACAATGGTGAGATTATAGCTGAAGCAAATCGTCATCCTGACTGTTTTCCAATTTCTTTACCTCAAAATGATCACGTTTTTGCTCGATTTAGAGAGCAATGTATGGAATTCGTTCGTTCCCTGCCGGCACCACGACCAGAATGCAATTTTGGTCCACGAGAACAGGTATTTTCTTTTAATACTTACGTCTGTTTTCATCTTTCTACTTGATCTTTGATTTTAAAACCCGTTCTAAACAAAAGAATTCTACGGCATTTTACGTTGAAATGCCTGTCCCTCTTAAATGAAAGATACGCTCTGGTTCACTATGGGTAAAACTGGGTAAAAATCACGCCAAAGTAACGTTCGGTGAAGAATGGTTCGTACGAGTGGGGTGAGGGTTCCGACAACTGTGACAAGAAGATATAGGTAAGGGAAAACGAAACAATAAGAAATAAACATTTCCATTTGTATATACTCGTAATTTACCTCAAACTGGGAATGATTTTATGATTTTAATTGAAGATACAATTATCTAGATAAATTTTATGATTTGAATTGAATAATTTGATTTATTATTTTATTTGATATTAATAGTATTGACTAGATATAATTTTCATTTTTCATATATTAACACAAATTAAAAACATTAATATATGTACTGTTCCTTAGATGAATCAAATTACTGGCTATTTAGATGGCTCCAATATTTATGGTTCTAATGATAGAGCACAGAGAGAATTGAGACTTGGACGTGGTGGTTTCTTGCGTGCTCAGAATGTCCGTGGCAGACAAATGCTTCCAGAGAATCGAGGTGAATGCACCGATGCATCAGAACGTCTGGCTTGTTTCAAAGCAGGTATGACTGACATAATGTAAATAAATGAATTTATTGAAAGCCAAATATATTGTGTACAGTTTTTACTTTTGCTTGAAATGATGTTAACAATAAAATTAAATGTGTGACTGATATATTTCAGATATTTACTACATTTATCAGTACTCTAAAGTATACATGAAGATAAATTAAATACTTTCATATGAATAACTTTAGTATGGTCTGGAAAGGAGTTTATATTATTGTGTCCAAAAATACTAATTTGAAAATATTTCTTTGTGACAGGTGATTCACGGGTGAATGAACAAGTTGAATTGGCAGTTATGCACACTATCTGGATGCGAGAGCATAATAGAGTGGCAGCTGAATTGGCTAGATTGAATCCAAACTGGAATGATGAGATTCTTTTCCAAGAAGCAAGGAGAATAGTAATAGCAGAGATGCAACATATTACATACAATGAATTTCTTCCTTTAATATTAGGTACGTATAAATGCATTCCATAAATGCATCTAATTGTTCAAAGCCCATTTGTTCTCTACAATTTTCGCTGAAATGTTAAATAAAAATAAACCGTGACAAGACGAGTCACACATGTGGCAGGATTTTCGACCCTAGCTAGAGAGTTAAGTCGAAGTCGGTTGATGTCTGAATTAGAATTGTAGCGGCAGGCTGCTCTGATCGGTAGTTTTTCGAGGATTCTCCTATCAACACAAATAGAACAATAACGGACTGGAATAAGTTACCTGCGGCAGCCATGGAACCCTTTCCTCTAGGTGTACAAAGTTTCAAAAGTAGATTAACTAAGGACATTGGTATAAGTTAGGCTTTTTAAAATAGTTATTATTTTAGTTATATATATATATATATATATATATATATATATATATATATATATATATATATATATATATATTTATAATTGTTATTTTTTAAATATTAGTATTGTGATATTAAATATTAAATACATTGGTTTGTTAAATATACAATTATATTTAAAGTAGTAGTTGAATTGGAGTGTCGTGAAGTGAAGTGAAGTGAAGTGGTGTAGTGAAGTGAAGTGAAGTGAAGTCAAGTGAAGTGCAGTGTATTTATTAGTTAAAAATCCCGTGCAGGGCAGTCATAAAGTGTATAGGTAATGCTGTTAGTTTTTATTGTTATATTGTTATTATTGCCTTAAAAGGCTTTAAAATTAAAGTGTATTACTATTCTTAGTTGTAAAATGTAGTGTTCTGCCACCAGGTTCTATACCTACTTGCAGAAATAATAAATCTATCTATCTATCTAACACCAGGAGAATGCCAGAGCAGTACCCTAACAAACGGGACACGGACCAGGCGCAATCGTTCCATTCTCTTCCTTGTCCTATCCTCACCCTTTACTCACACTTCCACACATGCTCTACACTTACGGAACAAATGACCGCAGCCATTGACGCGAGCTGAATCACTAGTAAATATATCAATCAATCAAATACAAATAATATTAAAAAGTAATAGTCAAATTGTGATTGTCCCACACATTTATACAATTGATTAATATATAACGTAAAAGAGCTAACATAAAAAAGCTAAATTTCGAAATATTAATGAAGCTTAAAATTAAATCTTCTTAGTTTCTTCACATTAGCAAACAATACCAGTAGTTTGAGATTTTATAGTCTCTAAGTAAGCAACTAACAGAGTATTATCTGAATTTTTTCTTCGCATTTAATAATTCTTTAAATCATGTGTAGTTAAAAATTTTTCAGTTTCCGAATTTTATTTCGCCCTAGGTCGTGATTACATGGAGAAATTCGAGCTGGTTCCTAAAGAGAAAGGTCATACTTCTCTATATGACCCAGACCTCAATGCAGGAATTACAAATGTTTTTGCGACTGCAGCTTTTCGATTTGGACATACACTCATCCAGAGTTCTTTGCAGTAAGTTTTTGGAACTAACCAACCTTGTAAAAACCTGCTTAAATTAATTCATTTTACAAAATAATTAGAATTAATTTCATCCTTAATAAAATAATAAACAGAAGTAGTTTCACAATAAACGAATATATTTATTTTATTCTCTCTGTATCTGTATTATAAATAAATATCCCTTTTCAGAGGATTTAGTCAGTTTGGTACTTTGCGAGAAAATCTCCAGTTGCATAAGCATCAATTTGAACCCTTTGTCCTGTATAACGAAGGATCATTTGATAATTTTCTGAGAGGACTATCAACTCAGACATGCCAGAAATTCGATCGCTTTTTTTCAAAGGAGGTAATATTTTTTGGTTTTCTTGTATCAGTCTGCAGTACAATAACTATTAACTTAATTCAATGCCTTTTCTTCATATCTGATTAAATTTTCAGCTGACAGACCGCTTATTTCAAGGAGATCTGGATTTTGGATTGGATCTGGTGGCTTTGAATATTCAGCGTGGTAGAGATCATGGACTTCCTCCATATAATGATTGGCGAGAAGTATGTGGACTTCCTCGTGCAAGATCATGGGAAGGACTCCTTGATGTGATGGATCAACAGGTATACTTTTCATATTAGTTTTTCTATTTTTTGTCTATTTTTTCCATTTTTGATGTCTCACATAATTTTTTTCTTCAATTTTTTATAATAAGAAAAATTCTGTACGAATTCTTGTTAATTTTTTTTAATGACAATTAAACTATTGCTATTGCTGAAGTAATAATAATAATAATAATAAAAATAAAAATATTGATTCATGATATCGCCACTACTGTAAATATTAATGACTAGAAATATTTTTAAAATTACAGTTGTGTAATTTTGACTTGATGCTTGTAATCATGTAGTCAGTGTTAGTTGCACAACACGTATAAAAAGTTTCAAGAAAAATTTGGAGGATTGTTTGAGAAAATCTTTCTTTTAAAATTGTTTTTATTTCACGCAAAATTACTCGAAAATGTTTCATGTTTTGAAAACAATGTACGTATATATCCTAATTTAAAGACTTAAATTTTAATAACAGATTCTGTCAGAGAAATATCTCTATCTTCAATAGTGTAGTTTTAGGTAGTCAGAAAAAAATTGAATTTAGGCAATTTTCGAAAAATCCGATGTTTCAGAGAAACGGAGACCTGTGCCATTGTTTTAAACGTTCTACATGCTCTTCGAGGACAATCGTTAAAAAATGTTGAAGTATCTTTGAGGCTTCATGTCAAGTTTTCTCAAAAATTTAAACATCGCTTTCAAATTTAAGGGGCCGCGACAGCCAGATCTATTGAATAATCTCAATTTTTGTAAAAATTCTGCTTTAGCTTAGTCGCCAGCGTTGTTCACAGACCAACGGGCTGTCATTTCGGCATTAACCAATTTTTTGGTATCAAGGATCCACGAAACGTGGAGTCATTATCAGAGACCTACAATACGCATTTTCTGCCGAAACATCGGTGTATATCGTGGCAGCGTTACATAATTGTCTATATTGCATTTGTAGTATGCGAGAATGTAAAAATCGGTGGATGTTGACTAATTTCAACGGCTAATATGGCATCTTCCAAAAATATGTGAACCCGAATTTTACAGAAACGGCTTCTACTTTTTACTTAAAAGAATATATTTTTCTTTCACATGTAAGAATAGAAGATAGTATACTGAATTATATGACACAGTGCTCTTTTCATAAAAAAGTGAATTTAGGAAATGTAAACATTTCTACGAGTATTTTTTTCGAACATCCCAGCACTAACACCTATTTACTACATTTCAAATGTATTTCTGTATTTAACGAATTTGTGAGCAGAAAACTAAAAAAATACGTTGTAATTTTTTTGAAATTTCAAAGTGTTCGAATGCAATCAAAATCAAACCTGTGCATTTTCAAAAACTGGCCTTTTTTTTAAAAAGAAACGTGTGTGCGCTGCGCATTCCCACTATACGTACATTTTTCTACAGTGGGCGAACCCATTAGGTCATTGTCACACTTCTGCCAGGCACATTTCTAAGGACACGAGCGGACACCGTTGAGAAGGACGTTCGCGAATTAATTAAAGATTCATTTTGAAAGGCAGGAGATGTGACGATAATGTTCCTAAAGTCATGGGTCACTCTAAAAAAATCGAAGTGTAGTTTTATTTCACGTCTGTTACATTGATTACATTGTTTTTAATAAAAGAGTTTATAAACTTAATAACATTTATTGCGAAGGTATAGCTATTTTTAAGTAATAGTAGTATTTGTTATTTGTTAATGTTATTAATATTGTAATTTGATTTATATTACATATTGTTATTTTTATGTTAAATATGATATTATTGCAGAGTGTTGCCGTGCTCCAGAGATTGTATCGTAGTGTAGATGACGTGGATCTTTTCGTTGCTGCAGTAGCCGAAAAACCTCTGAAAGGTGCCATTATGGGTCAAACTTTTGTTTGCCTTGTTGGTGATCAGTTTGCTCGACTAAGAAGAGGAGATCGTTATTATTATGAAGAAGGCAACCAAGCATCTTCTTTTACTGAAGGTATAAACACTACATTATTATTATATTATTATTATTATTATTATTATTACTATTATTACTATTACTATTATTGTTGTTGTTGTTGTTGTTGAGTTTGCCTCTAGGATGTCTTAAGGACAGCATGCTAACTTTCTGTGGTGTGATCCTGTGTTCAATACCTGATAGGGGCAAAAGTAGAGTTCCAACTTTACTTAAAATTGTCTGTTTGTGTTGCTGTGTGACGAAAAAAGCCCAGGCAAGCGGACTTTGCCAGTTATGGTGAAAGGGATACGTCATGTTCGCCACGTGTCTCTCTGACCCCCAAGTGGGAGGGATTAAACGAAGTCCAGTCATGGGGGACACCGTTAGCTAGCTGGCAATGTGCCAAATCTTGGGTTTTGGGCCCAAAATTACAAATACACGTATTATTGAATTTCTAGCTGCTTACGCCTTGTGGCAATAATTTTTAATTAATTTATTAAATAACCACGCAAGAACCGCTTGCTTCGTCCATGTCCTTCGCACGCCCTGTCCTGTTTGGCATCGCCGATGTGATGTGACGTGATGTGACGTGACGACCTCTACCCTGTTCTACCTGCCCTTGCCAGTCTTTCTGTTGCCACCGCGCATCACTCTCCGAGATCTATTTCCGCCCTTCTCCCTGGACCCATTCCTTTCGCTCCTTCCTCCTTCCTCTCCTTTCGCTCCTTTCACCCTTCTCCCTCCTTCCATTCTGCACTGCTCGCATCTCTCACTCTTTCCGTTTCTTCCGCCATTCTCGTCTACGCTCGTCTGTCCGGTTTTCCATCTCTGTCAGGTCCCGCCTGGCCCCGCCTCGCAACGATCAGTAACGACCAGATACATTAAGGAGTTCATTGAAATAAAAGTAAAAAAACAACATGTAAGAATAAAAATTTTAATTCCAAATAAACAAAAACGTATTCGTGAAAAACGTGAGGGCAATCACTGCAGTGGTTCTAAAGCTTTGGTGACACATAGAAACAAACTACTCTAGCATTTCTGTAATAGCAAAAAGACGATCCACATTATTGTGTAAAGTTATTACTTTTTTACATTTCACACAACACCAACTAGTTATTTGTTGAAACAGGCTGATTATTTATTGAATTCAGGGGATATTGAAAATTAATATAAATATTCTGAAGTTGTGCATTGCTTTATTTTTAGTATATGAATGACTTGTCTAAATATAATATGTAATTTGAATTTCAAAATATCTTCAAGAAAATTCAATGTATATCAATATCCCTACTTTCACACAATTTTTATTCTCTCTATAGGAAAAGAAATTGACAACATTTCATCTGCTGCAAATAAACATCACCCCAAGCCAATACATTTGCAAATACACATACTCATGGTGCAAGACCTATATTGAATAACGTCATTTTACGTTCTCGCCTTACTTAATAAAAATTACATTGTAATCGTAATCGTACTTCAAAACAAAAGAAAGTACCTTGTAATCGTACGCCAGATTTCGGCGATTTTCCGACACAAAACTTTTATTACCGTGCTCTGTTCAGAGGACTAATGTTTTTGGTTTACTATATCCGGTGTCAAAATTACATTTTCTTCACAATTATTGATTTTATTAATATGGAGATAAAATAAAAAATATTAATAGCACAAAAGCGTCAATATCTTAATTTGACCTCAAATAATCAATTATATTCAATTGTTTCTTGTGTATTTCTTTCGAGACTAATTTCTCTAAATTCTGCTCCAGAAATCCTGCTCTCCCGAACTTGATTGAGCATTGTCCACTATATCTAGTATCTACCACTATTCAAAGATCGTCCCTCGTATGTGTACTGGCAAGGCTCTTTTACTCACCATAGTACGAGTCTAGTACATAATACAAGATCTTTTCGTTAGAGCAATGGCGCAGATGGCTAGTAAAACAGATCGCTTTTCCGCGCGGCGCGGTGGGTGTTGCCAGGTGGTGGCAGTCACGGATTTCATGTCACCATTCTCCACAGAATTTCTGGGTAGCCTATTTGATTCTCCGCTCATAAATTGTAACGTCAGCCGTCGTATGTAATCGTCAGCCGTCGTATTTTCTGTGAAGTCTATCAGCGCTAATGTCGGTTCAGCCGATTTCGTGATTACTAAAGACATTATTTCGAAATAAAGAGCAGTCGAAATCACCAAATCAAAGGTTTGCAAACTGAGTTTACTTCAACGAAAGGAAGCACGTCGATTTTAACAGTGACATGCTCAAAACCTTGCGTTTTTCATCTGAACTAGTTTTGGTCAATTTTTTTACATCTTATTTCTTTGCCTTTAGGAGCTTTTAAGACCATTTTTTGGTCAACTCTTGCTATGTTTTAGGTCATTAAAATCCACCGCTAGTCATCTGTAGCGTCTTTATTCCGTTTCCGATACCTCCTCCTCGGGAGAGACTTCTTCAATGATGACCTTCAGTCGACATTCTTTCCTAGAGTCCAGTATTGGAATTTGTGGCACTTAGGCAACACATTAATTTTTAGGACGTTGCATTTCCTACGTTCAATATTGCTGAAGTTCAGAGATCACCACATCTAAATCTTCTTGCGCTTGTTTGTAATGTGAGTGAAACGGAACAAGTGATTTAAGTACACTATATCCGAGAGTTCTTTATATACTCACTATAGCCGTAGTCGATTGGTTTTCCTGAAAGTTAGGGTGAAATGTAAGCAAGTTTTACACAACTGCTTTATCACAAATGTGTCTACGTTTTTTTAACTTATAAATAAAGCGAGAAGGTTTATGCGGTTGTAGCGTCACTAGTTTAGTATGTTTTTCCGTAACTATCTAGCTTAAAAGAAAAGGTTATAGCTGGATGATATTGGAACCTAAATAAAACTTGATTTATTCATGAAACACGATCAGGATATTTGGAACTTGAATAATAAAACACAAGCAATGTGAAATATAGTAAAAATATTCGACCATATCAAATAGAAACCTTGTAGAGAATGTTGTTTTAAAAGATATCGATAGAAATGTGAACGATCCGGCAATAGTGGCTAATCCCTTTAACTAATACTTTTCGACAATTGCTGCCGATCTCACTAAGGGTTTTCAAACACAACATTCAACATCAGACGTTTCCCAAACATTTTAGACACGATGTTCGTTTCTGAAACGTATTTCAATGATATTCTCAAAATAAATATTCGGCCGGTTTAGATAAATTTCCAAATACTTGTGTGCCCGCCCGCCATTATACACTCGTTAACTCACATATATATATATATATATATATATATATATATATATATATATATATATATATCCTTATGCACAATAATTTTTCCAGATATTTTTAACATAGCTAGGATTAAGCCTCTTCTCAAAAAAGGCAACAAACATCAAAATCAAAATTATCGGCCTATTTCTCTTTTGTCGGTTGTTTCAAAAATATTAGAAAGACTTTTTTACGTACGAATGGAAACATTTCTTAGTAAACAACACGCGTTTTCAGGTTGCCCACATGGCTTTCGAAAATGAAAATCAACGGAAACAGACACATTTTATTTTCTTAAAGATTTCGCATCGTTCATGGATCAAAACGGAGCGCCTATTAGAATATTTTTAGATCTTTCAAAAGCTTTTGACGTCATTGATCATAACATTATCTTTCAAAATTACCTTCGTATGGAATTCGTGGCATTGCTCTAGATTGGTTATGTTCGTTCTTGCTGGAATAATGGAACATTATGTACACATCTTTCTGATCCTTTGCCAGTGGCATGTGGATTCCCGCAGGGATCGATTTTAGTCCTTATTCCCTTCCTACAATACGTAATCAATATGCTCTCGTAGATTAGAACCGGAAGAACAGTTGTCTTTGCGGACGACACGAATATTCTTTGCAATAAAGAATCCGTAAATAGTACAATACCAGATATTTCAAATTGGTTCCATACTAACAAAATAATACTAAATGAAAAGAAAACTGTTTCCATCTATATATATAAAAGAAAGTCGTGTTAGTTACTCCACTTATAACTCAAGAACGGCTGAACCTAT